ACCTATGTATATCGACATGAGTTAATATTGTAAATGAGGCTCAGTAATCTTTTACTTTCAAATTAAATAAAAAATAATGAATAAAATATATACCAAAAGGAATTTACCTATAATATTAAAAAAAATTAACAAAACCAGTTTTTGACAATAATTCATTTTTCTTACACCAAAATCAAAAATGAATGTCTTTATTGGTAGATACTTAACTTTTTCACCTGCAAATATTTATATTATATTTTTTTATATATAATAAAATGTTCAAAATATTTTGCTATTTGATTTATTCACTTCGACTTTTTTACGACCTCATAAGTGGTTCTTAGAAGAACTAAAAAAGTAAAAAATTGATTTTATAGAAGCTTTCGAAATTAAAATACTGATAAAATTAATCAAAATTATGAAAATAATATTAAAATTAGGTACACCTAATTTGAACCTATTTTAGTTAAAAATTATTAAAATATAATATTTTTATTTTTAGATTCTCAGCGGAGCGATGAATGTATCAATCATCTTTAAGAACACAATTATCCGAAATAAATGTATACAAACAATATTTGTAACGTTTGTTTCATACCTATTATACATTTATATTATTAAGATATACCTACCCGAGTACCTGACTACATATGACAATGTCATGGGAAAATTTGTAGGTTTAAACAGCTTTTACTTTCTGACATATGATGCATTTGAAAAAAGTTTTGTAAAAATTATAAATTTTTTATTTTCTGCATAGGCGCAATTTCAACATAAAAACTGAGGGTGCTTAAGCTCTGCATTTCCTGGGTATTTAAATTAAATTATACCTATGAGGCACTTATGACTTTTTTGAGAAAAAATGGTTTTATGACAATTTAACATTGAATATTTATAGTGCATTAGGTACATTTTATAAAAATTAATACAATAGTAAATTTTAATTTATTAAAAATTTAAAACAAATTATTTATATTTTATTCAAAAAATATGACAAATAAATATTAGTGTACAAGGGGTGTAACAGACAGACTTGACAAAAAAAAAATGAAGCTACTTGAAATGTGTGACAAAAATTGTTAAAATTATAAAAAAACATTATAAATATTGATTAGAACAAAAGTTATTCCAAAAGCCAGTTATATACTTATAATACTTATATACTTATATACTTATGTACCTACTATATTATATAATTCGGCATACACAATCACACATGCTGTCGGAAACTTGGAACTCCAGTGAACACCAACTGACAAGTAATTCGTATATCGTAATTATGTTTTTGTCCGAATTAGATGTGGGCACGGGAATGTTTCTATTAGTAAATACTCGCGATACTATAAATTGTCGCAGAGCTGAGTCGCTGCTGAACGTGATAACACTGATAATAATATAACCGACCACAACGACCGGGCTTAGTAGAAACATTGGAAAATAATGATTTATATTCTAAATAGATTTTAATTCGTTAAAATTACAATTGTCGAGTTCATTGTTTCATTCATTATACTCTGATACCCTCATGTCTGATGATAAACTGTTTTTGGTTTTTTTTTTGTTGTAAAGAGAAGTTTTGATACATAAACACATATTAATTAGATGGTGCTAATTTTAAAATTGGGGGTGCTAATACCCCCTAAGCCCCCCCTATTTGCGCCTATGATTTTCTGTAAGAAAATCTTATGAGAAACTTGTATTAAATATTTAAGCTTAGGTGAGATAAGCTTACTCACAAACAACAATTTTAACATTATAATTTATAAATATATTGAAAAAAATCTAAATAATTTCAAATATCGTTAGCCCAAAAAGAGCCAAAATATTTTGAAAATATTATTTATCATGTCTAGCATTAGCATTTTCTAATATGAACAATTGTGGTGAGATTTTTAAGTATCCATGGACCATGGATATTTATTTTTTAATTACAACAGTAAAATTAAATCAAATTTTTGAAAACCTGATTTGCGTGAAAATTCCCGTTTATCACCATTTTTATTTGTTTGTCCTGATTATTATTTTTTCTACTTTAAAATGTATACACATATTATAGCTACTCCCATAAAAACACACATCTTTGTAAAACTCTAAAACCAATACAATAAGATTTATTTTTTAATACCCTCGCATAGGTAGGTACTGAACTCTTTTTGATAAAGTTCAAAGGAGCACTCTTGGTGTTTATTGTTTATAAAAGTTATACCTTACCTACATCACTTATTAATTTAATAAATACATAATATAAAGGTGGTTGTGAGTAATATTGTAGTCTGGCGATTTTTATTACAATTACCTACCATAAAGGTACAGACTATAGACAGTACATTATTATTGTGAAAAATGAAACTTGAGTAAATAAATATTTGTTTTTATTCTGTATAATTTGTTTATATTTTTGTTTGCATGAGGAGGGAAATATAACTTAAAATATCAATTAAAATTGTAAGTTATAAACTTATATTTTCACAGATCCTACAAAAAAGTCAAGACTGCTAAAAAATATATATTTTTGAAAAACCATTTATTTCATTATAAATGTTGATTTAGATTTTAAGATTAGGTAGTTAAAATATAATATAACGACGATGGCAATCGAAAATTTGACGCTTAAATTATTTTAACGTTCTGAAATATATATACCTACACAATACAGTACACACCTAATATAATATTATATAAAAAAAAAGATTTAAGTACCTAGATTTAGATTATTAATATTATAAATAAATTGACAATTCAGAAATAAAAGTATATCGTTATAAAATATGTAAGTAGGTTTATATTATTATTTATTTTTATTTACATTCTCAGTGGATTATACGCCGTAGCTCGTAGGCAGTGGTGTGCCGAACTGACAAGCAGACCTGACGCAAACTATACAATTTGATCCCCCTCCCCACCACCAACAGTTTTTTCACTATTTTTTTTTTATTATTCAAAATAATAAATATTATTAAGTTTTTTTAGGTATAAGTTGCACATCTATACTAACACACCCACCCACCTACCCGAATTTCCCCTGAGGCAATTGCCTCAAAAAAATTACTATTCAGCACCCATCTGCTCGTAGGTATGGATCTAATATTCTTATGCAATAATTGTGTGTGTGTTCTTTTGTGTATATGACGTCTATACTCTATACAGAAAAAAAACGGTTTGATCTTCAACTTCGAAAGGTGCTGGTAATAAAATAAATTCAGTTACCTTAAGGGATTGAAATTAAAAATGCACACTACTTTTAAATTTTACTAATAATCGTAAAAAAAAAATAATAAAATAACAAAACTGATAGGTATGGAAAATTAATTTTTTAGAAAACTTATTTTGTAATTGAGTGTAATTAAAAAATGAATAACCGTTGAGAATTATTGCAAATATTCATATTAGTTTTTACTAGATATATAATTGTTTTAAAAATATTTTGGTTCTTCTTGTGCTATTAAATAGTTGTACACAATTTTGGACTTCCTTTTTTTCATTTAGGTATATCACTGTATATGATACCTCTGATTTCTAAATGTCTTGTTCTTGTACATATGTCTATATCCACGTATTGTACATATATATATATTTTCTTCGCACATATATTTATTGTAAATGCCATTACAGATTGTATATATTCTAAAAAATGTTAAAAAAAAAAACTAAAGTATATGATATTGGCATATATATATTTTTGTTTAAGAGGATTTCTGGATTTGTTGTCTCCATGTTTCACACGTACGACAAACATTTTCGTTCACTTCTTTCAATAGTGTGCTATTAGTTTTGATATTAGAGTGAATTGATAAATAAGTATCAAAGTTTTAGGTAAGAACATTATCTGTGCCTAAACGTCAGCGATTTTTTGATATTTTCATTTTCAAGCAAGATATTATGTGGAATATCATAAATATCAAATGCTCATATCACCTATGAAAATGAAAATATCGAATATAACACTTAAGCCGACACTTAAGCACAGAAAATGTTCTTACCTAAAAGTTTGATGTAGGTCAATCCACTCTAATATCAAAATTAACTGTACACTATTGAAACTAATTAATGAAAATTAAATATATCATAAGCGTGTAAGACGGAAACAACAAATGCATTGGTAGCATCCTCAAGAAAGTTTGAAATTTAATACAAGGTTCCGCATATTATAATGTTTTTATTGCAATTAAAAAATATGGGAACTAAATGATCACGATTTTTATTTTTCTACGAAATCATTCAAAATCATGAAAATTTGTAAATTATTTTATACGTTTAATTCAAAAATTTTAATTTTAACACCTTAGGTTATCAAAATGAATACAAGGTTCCTCACAAGTTTTATTATCGGAAATTAAAAAAATGTAAACCACATACGGCATATTATTACATTTTTTATAACCTATATTTGGATAATAAATATTCATACGTATAGGTACTGACGGTATTATCCTCTAACTTTTGTAATCATTTTTTTTTTTATTGTCGTATTTTATTGACATATTTTTAATTGTTAGTGACTATAGAGTATAAACGGAAATACACTCTCGGCCTCTTGCCTAGCCTAGCCGCGTCGATCGTCGGAATTCGGAGAAGGACAGACGTTCGCGGGATTTCTCTCTCTCCGCCTCAGCGCAGATCGTGCCAAGTACGACTGCGACAGTGCGTTGGAGGCGAGTTGCCGAGTTGTGACTTGTGGCACTGTACGTCTGTACCAGTGTACCACACTGTACCACTGTGACGAGGAGTGAGTGTACCACACTGCCGGCATATTGTGGATAATCTAATCAAATTACTATTTGATAACACATCATGTCTTTATCAAATTCACACATACTTCTAAACCATTGAACTATATAATAATAATATATTATTATATAGTTCAATGTTCTAAACTTATTGATGTTAGTTGAATAATTAATGTAATTCGAATAGACATAGGTATTGAAATTTAAAAAATATAGGTATTACAAAATCATTTACACATAAAGCGGAAGGCGGAAGATAAGGTTCACAAGGTATCAACGATACATTTTTTCAATATGGATAATTTCAAAAAACCAAATATTTCAAAAAAGAAAAAAGAACAGTAAGTTTGTTAAAAGTTAATTTTAAAGATTTTTTATTCTGTTTTCTTATATTTTTAGGTTATCAAAAAATATCCTTGAAACTTTAAAAAAAAAAAAGGAATGTGAGAAAAAAGCATTAGACATTGTGATTGAGTTAATCGATGGTGGATTGGAAGAAGCGGACTTGTTAAATAAGGTAGGATTAGAATATTATACATCATCATTGAAAGTTAATTGTTGTACCTAATATTTGTAAAAGTAATTTTACTTATGTAGACATAACCATATATTTGAAATAAACCATATGGCATCTTCCTTAGGAAAAACTTGTGCAACTACTGTAGTAATACATATAAAATAGTGTTATCTCATTAACTTTTTTTTGTATTACGGCATTCTTTCTTAGTGTGGAAATATAGGTTTTAATATTAATTGTACCACACAATTTCAAGTTGAGTACCTACTCAACTACCTTAAGTTCCAACGTTTATTAAAATAAATAAAAGCAACTTTCATACATTTTTGAGATTTTCTAAAACTTCTCAATTTTGAACAAAATTACATAAATAACCAAGAATGATGATTTTAGTTATTTCGTTGTAATTTTATAATATTAATTCAACTTACCGGGTACCTACCGTATTAATAATAAGTAATACCAATATACATATAATATAAAATATCCTGACTGACAGACTGTCTCTGCTGAGAATCATTTTTTGTATACAATGTTATTATATCATTGCATTTAAATTTAATCCATTCTACGGTGACCCACTTGTAACCTACTATACAGCAGAGCGACATCCACTTATCCTATTTTTTTTAATTGTATTTCATATAATTGCTTATTTTTATAATTCTAAAAAAATTATATTTCACATTTATGCTATGTACTTTTGTCCTATCAGAGATAACAATTTATATTAATCAATCTCTTATACAGTGTTTTCATGCTAAGAGGTACCTCAAATGAAAATATCATTAAACACGAATTATGCATAAATCCAATTTTTGACTTACTCTAACTTGGTCAGTTTTGAAAATAGAAAAAAACTTTTTACACAATAAATGTTTAAAAAAAAAAATACTCTACCCAAATCTGCAGAAAAAAACTAGGGTGCCATTTAAAAAAAGTAAGTTGTATTGCGCATGCTCCTACCGAGTGAGCCAAAGTTTTGAAACGGGTCTAAAATTATATGTATTTAGGTGCTCCCTATCACCTCCCGAAAACCCCATTTCTGTACAATGTCACCCATCTGAGATATTCAGTGGTACCTCTTAGTGTTGACACACTGTATATATTTTTATGTAATAATTAAATAAAATGATAATTAAATTTTTTAGCTGCATTCAATTAATCCTTGCCACTATGAAGATGTAGTAGAAGAAAGATTTATATTAAAACAATGTGGATATGTTATGTGTGAAAAGAAGTTAGAGTATATACCAAATCAAAAGTACAAGATATCATTAGCCCTCAAAAAGGTGTATGATATCACAGAAAGGAAGGTATTTATACAATATTTACTTTTTTAACAGTTACTTTATTTTATCATTATGATAATTATTTGTTATCCTTATATTTCTAACAAAGTTAAACCTGTAATTTTCAAAATGTTTTGTTTAAACTTTGTTTCTGAGCTAGTTAATTGTTAGTAAGTACCTAGTTTAAACATTAAACATAATCATTTGAATAAATTACAATTTAATAATTTAAAAGAAATTCCCATCACACTAAATATTATTCTAATACATTTTAACTTTTAAGTGTAATCATTTAACTTATATTCAAATCTATAATTATGTTCAATTATTCATATTAATTGTTTATATTAAATTTATTTTTAAGGCTTCAAATACAAGATTTATAGGCTTACAATAATTTATAATTTTTTAATTTTTTTGACAAAATTTTTTAAATAAATTGGTAGTGTGGTATATCGTTGGTCTGTAAACTCTATTATGGGTGTTTAGGGAGTATACATTTTTTTGATTGCATATTTTATGATTTGGAATTTTTGTGATGTACAGTGATAGGCAGTTCGTTTTGTACAACAAACTATCAACTGGACTTGATCTGAAAGCTCCTATGACCATTCTGATTCTATAGTTGTATATCTGTAGTGATGGAAAAAGCTGATATGTAAATTTTCTGAACTCAGTTTTGCCGCTACATATATTTTAAAATAATGACATATCATAATTTGGTCTTTGCACATAAATGGCGAGCTCCACACACACACAATAAAGACATATCATATTTTGCCACCACTTGAAATATACAAATTCTAAACTATACAAATGATCATTCAAAAATTAACAAAATGTACATATCAGCTTCTGCCATCTTTCCACAGATATATTATAATACAGTGAAATATGATATTAAAAGAGTCTTAATAATAAGTCAATAGATTTTTACCATATTGAATCTATCAATAATAATAATATCTTGCTATATGAACTTGTGTTTTTATCCGGTTTCATTATTTAGAGAGAGCCAAGCATTCTCTTCTTAACTAAAAATTATGAAAATAAGTTTTCTATAAATAATCACTTTTGTTTGTTTTAGAAATTTTGCTCCAATATATGCTTTAAAAGTTCAAAATATTTACAAAATCAATTACTTACCACACCACTGTGGTTACGCGAAAAAGATACAGTACCAACATTTAAATTATTAAAGTATGTTGACAATTATTATTCAGGTATATTTGTTAATTTATTGTAGTTTAAGCAGGGAAAGTACATGGACATAGCCCATATATGAGTAGTTACTTCAATAGAAGTGGGGTAGGGTTGTACATAAAACAAATAATAACAATTAACAATAATACCCAACAATTTTACAATAGTTTGATAAAAAAAAAAAAAATTTAATGAGATACATAGCGTCACCTTCATGACTAAAGTGACAATGTGCAAAAAGTGACCAAGTTAAATAACATGTTTAAATGTCTTATTTTGTCCCTATTAATATACGAAAAAAGTGACCAAGTGATATCTTTATTAGTTTAGGAACCACTGAATACTTAATTTTGACCAACCAACATCTCAATATAATTCTTTTATTTCATTAAAATTTATTTCATTAAGTATTTATAACATGTGCTAAATTTTAAATTTTTTCTTGTTACTCATTCCAAAATAAAACAATTTTTGTGAATATTTTCTATTTTAATTGGACTTGGAAAATGACGAAGTATAAGGAGCAAGACCTACCATGGTAGTCCAAAGGTTCAATATCTAAAATAGTAAAATGAAATTATTAAATTTAGAAATTTAACTGAGATGTTATGTATGCAAATAATGTTTTATAACGTATATATTGATATATACCTGTACATCTTGTAGATGCTAGGAATGGAACAGCATTATTTTTGAGATATCCACTAGGTAGGTAATTTGCATAACTTGTAAAATGACAAGTACCATTTCATATTACATGCTTTTAACCACAAATGCTTCCAATCTTAATTTTTTGGAAAACTAAAATATTATAACACCATTCATTTAATGTAAATTGAATATATTAATGTTCTAATATAAATTATTGTACTTATGAAAGAAAATGATTTCTCTGATCTCTTAGGATACATTTTTTTACAAACAATACATTCTTGTCATTTTTATACTTTTTTATTAATAGTTTATATCAAAATAAGAACACCATAGTTAAGTACAAAGATTAGTAAGACTACTATTACCTATAAGATCTATGACGCATACCAGATTACGATACAATCGTTATTACTATTTACTATACATCTAAACTCAACCTGGTTTTTCGTGCATGCGCAGAAGTCTAGAACAACATGTGCAGCATGGGAACTACCATCATGCTCCGTCCATGAGTGTAAGGTCTATAAATAGAGTTGGAAAGTGGCATTATTCTATCGATTTGTGAATTAGAAGTTATCTATTACAACAAAGAATAGAATAATAATAATAAATATTTTTTCTAGAATGTTTCTACTAAAAGAAGGTACTAAAAAAAATTAATTAAAAAATAACCCTCTCTACTGATTTACTTTCAATATGCATAACATAAAATAAAAACCTTATTCCAAATTTAAGCATATTAAAGGTAAATAATTTGTATTTAAGGTTTTGATGAGTTTAATGGTATTTAATGGGATAGTGGTATTTGATGGTATGATGGGTTTATTAGTCTGTTATTTGTCAATGTTACAAGAGTAGCAAAACAAATAGAACTAAGAATTTACATGAAATCTAAATATTCTATATCATATATTTGATTCTAATGGTCTGATAGTCTGGCATAATAGTGATGATGTAGTGTCTCATATGTATTACACTGGAAATCATTACACTGATGTCAGGATGTTGATATAAAAGAACTATTCCTTTATATTTGAATTATATAGGTATAATAAAAAAAAGGTGGGCAAGTGGGTGTCGCTCTGCTGTACAGTAAGTTATAAGTGGGTCACTGTATAATGGATGGTATTACATTTGAATTCAATAATATTATATCATTGTATAAGAAAAATGATTCTGAGCGGAGACGGTATGTCCTTCTAGGTATAAGACATATTATATACTTATCTATGGTATTAAAAAAAATTGACCTATAATAGGTATCTATAATGAATTCCAAATCAATCATATCACAATATCCATTAAGTACTTATAACGCATTATACACCAATAAAAAACCCTGATACTATCATAGATATATAGTAGTATACTTTAGAAATTTCAAGTACAAACGAATAATATTATACAATCACAACAGAATAACTAAAATAGTTATTCTAGGTTTTTTATTATGTAATTTCGGCCAAATTTGAACTTAAAATGACTATAAAAATAAAATTTGTTTATGTATTTTTTAGATTTTTTGGCAACAGAATTAACTACTTACGTGGAATCTTGTTTTAAATTTTCAATCCTTAGATATAAAAGTTGAACATTTTATAAATTTTTACCTACAAAATAATTCTTCAATTTTAATTTGATAAATGTTGTCAAAATACGATATTTAAAGGCTTATAAAAAAAAATTGTGCCTATGTATTTTAAATATTATTCAACTGATATTGTAACAATATATATCAGGAGCCTTGTACTAAAGTTTTACACTTTTTGCCCTACAGATAAAACTTTATTACGGTATGTCCTTCTAGGTATAAGACATATTATATACTTATCTATGGTATTAAAAAAAATTGACCTATAATAAATTCCAAATTAATCAAATCACAATATCCATTAGGTACTTATAACGCGTTATACATAAAAAAAAAACCGTGATACTATCATAGATATATAATAGTACACTTTAGAAGTTTCAAGTACCCACGAATAATATTATTCAATCACAACAAAATAACTAAAATAGTTATTCTAGGTTTTTTTTATGTAATTTCGTCCAAATTTGATTTTAAAATGTCTGTAAAAAATAACTGTGTTCATATATTTTTTAGATTTTTTGGTTACAGTATGAACTATTTATGAGAACCTTTGTTTTAAATTTGCAATCCTTAGCTATAAAAACTGAACATTTCATAATTTATTAATTACAATGATTGATAATTTTCGAGATTTTGATAAATTTTGTCAAAATTCGATCTTTAAATGCTTATAAAAAAAAACTGTGCATATATATTTTTATTTTTTTTCAACTGATATTGTAACAATATATCAGGAGCCTTGTATTAAATTCTTACACTTTTTGGCCCAACAGATAAAACTTTATTGATATTTATAGAAAAAAAAACTAAAAAAAATTGAAAGCGGTAAATGTCCGTAAATAGCTCAAAATAAGTCAAAATATTTTCAAAATTGTATGGTGTATAGGAAATGCTAATTTAAACATTCAGTGAAATTTTCATGTATCTACAGTTATTCGTTTTTGAATTACAACAAAATAAGGAAATCGCTACAAGAGAAATCGAGTGAATATCCAATGTTGTAAAAATTTGAATTTCAAACGCTCATAAAAATTGAATTTGACTTTCTTATAGATATTTTTTTTTTGATAAAGGTAGATAATCTTATTAGGAATCTTGTATTACATTTTCAAATCTTAGATTTAAAAAGAAAATTTTTACGAATTCTTAACTCAAAATAATTTGCTAATTTTCGTGATTTTTCCTTATTTTGTCAATTTTTTAACTTTAAATGCTTATAAAAAAAACTGTGACTAACGATTTTTAATATTTTACATATGCCTTTGAAACAATAAACTAGGAGCCTTCTATTAAATTTACAAGTTTTAAACCAACAAATAAACTTTTATTGATATTTCTAGAAAAAAAACTAAAAAAAAATGAAAAATGAAAATGTCCCTAAACAGTTCAAAATAAATCAAAATATTTTGAAAATGTTATCGTGGATATAAAATGCAAATATAAACAACCAGTGAAAATTTCATGTATCTGCGGTCATTTGTTTTAAAGTTACACCAAAAACCAAAATTTTTTTTAAATTTTCTGAAAAATCGATTTTGCGTAAAAATTCCCGTTTTTCCTTAATTTTTCTTTTGTTTTTCTTGGCGCTTTTGAAAAGTACTGTGAATTTTAATTTTTTGACCTCTCCAATGCACCAACGATATTCACTTTCCAATCGAACAAGATACTGAAGTCGAAAATTGAAGCATTATTTCGACTACTTATCGTGTACACAGACACAAAAAAAAAAAAAACACATCATTGTAAAATCCATACATTTATCGTTCCACTCAGAATCTAAAATCAAAGATCAAAATGGTAATTAAAATTAACAATATTCAATGCAAACATAATAAACTTATATAACTTCACTACGGTGCACACTCAATGTTCCGCGTAAAAATAATAATAATAATAATAATAATAATAGACGCATGGCTGTACATTGTACATGGTCTGCCATCATTATAAGAAAGTAAATATTATTACAAAGGTGGACAAATTAAGTAACTATATTCAAGCTTAGAATGAATTAAGGAGCACAATACAATTTTAGTGTGCTTGTAAGTTAGTAAATAATAAATACATACAATTGCTAATAATAAATACATATGACTCATAATATTTTCATTTAATATCGTATAAATGGTATTTAAAACTGAGAAAAGAAACAATGTATTTAGAATTATTTAAAATAAAACAATTGTTTTTTGCAGCATACATACAGAAAAGGATATTGCATACCATTTGCACACCATACCTGATGGTCACACAAAATCATCAACACCATTAATTACTATTCCTACATCTAATGATACCAAGGTAGTTACAAAAAATGTTAGTTGATTAAAAAATGATTCATATTTCATAGTATATTGATTATTGGTTTTGATGTATTATGGTGCATTTTTGGCATTTTAATTTTTTTTAATTTACTCCGTCCAACAAGCTGCAACTGGGCAGCGACCAAAATGTGTCCGAGTTGATGCATCCCCTACCAATTCCACATACTGACAATCCGTTTGATCATGGTAGTTAACCGTCAGCAACACTATACAAAATACAAAGTGGATTGAAACAGTAGCACGGAACGGTTGCTGCCGTCAATCTGCATGCAAGAAACGATTGCGTTCCCTCATGGGCCAGAGTATACATTCTTAATTATCTTCTGCAAATACTATGATAAATTAAAAAAAGATAAAATGCGGTGATGAAGTCATAATGCTTCTTAAGAGGATGTCACACCCGCATGTGTTGTCTCCATAAGACCATAATACATGGCAAAAACTGTTTTGCGCTAGATAACTTTTCTAGTACCATATTTGTTGTAGAACTACCAAATTTTCACAACACGCAAAGAAAAACTTTATCTGTGTAACAGTTTGCTTTTTTTTTATAGCACTATTCAATCATTTTTTATTAGCAAATGAAAAAAAAAAAAACCAAATGTTTAGAAGCAAATAACTTTTATTGTATTTATGTTTCTAAAATATGAGAACACTGTTCCATAGATAATTTTCCACTCTATATGTTCAAAAATTTTGGAGCCAGTACTACCAACACAGAAAGATAAAAGTTGTCCCGTGAAAACAGTTTTTGGTATGTCGTTTATTTGTAAGACGGAGACCACACATGCGGGTGTGACATCCTCTTAAGTATTTTATGAAAAAGATATAGGTAATTTGATCAAGTCAGAATAACATTTTTATGTAGTCTAAATCTTTGAGTTTCTAATTAAAATATCCAATTCCCATATTGATGTTAATTTAAAAATAAAAAAATTACATAAGAATCTTATTTCTTAAAAAATTCATACCAGAATTTAAATTTATTTTCAGAAAACAATTTTGTCATATTACTTTAATATATTATATATTTTAATTAACGCTGAAATTTGTATAAAATATATTATCTAATGTTGATATAATCATATGTATAGACAGTATAGTATTGCTAATAATGTATATATAATAAAATAATATAAAATACAATTAATTGTTTAAATATTAAGTAATAAATAAATATAAATAATAATTAAAGCAAGTGTAACAAAATTAAAAATAATAAATAAATAAAAATTGAAAATTATTGACATTTAGTTTATTAATTTTAGTTTAATAAGTTAAGTCTTAAGTATAATTTACTCTGTCAAAATTCAAAATTTACAAATTATATTTTTTTGTTATATTTACAGACTGATCTTGAAGAACAACTTAATAACTTAAGTTCTCTTAACATTAAAAACTAATAGTTAAAAATAAATAACTGGAAAAGAATCAATTCCAACTACCAGCAGATAATCAATTACATCAGTATGTATTAAAAATAAAAAACCTCGTTATTATATTATATTTTAATGTCTCATAAAATTAACTTTTCCAATTACAACATGTAAATTAAACATTTCAGCACAAAAATAGAAAGTCATACTACTGTGATCTACAAATGAGAATAAATATCAAAGTACAATGGTAAGAAGAATAAAGTATCAGAAAATCTTGGTGTTAATTAAATGAACATATTATTAAATTCTCGTCATCATATAATGTCATTACCTTCAATGAAATAATTTTTTTTTCTTGTTTTGTATTTTTTTTATGTAATTTATATGAATGTCATACCAGCGTCTCCATGTTGTTTCCGCCTTACGCACGTCATTCACCATTTTAATGTTGTGAGGTTAGTTTTGATACTAGGGGGAATTCACGTATTATACTGCACAGTGTAGGCTTTTATTGATATTATTATACTAAGTATGATTATTTTAAAATGAACAATTTCAAAAAGATCACAACTTACTTAAAAATAATAATACCAATAAAAGCATGTCTTGCCCTAGATAATATATAATAATAATATTACATTTAAATAGTGTAATAAGTCAATTCACTCTAATATCAAAACTAAGAGTACACTATTGAAACTGGTGAATGAAAATTTGGTATGTTATACGTGTATAAGACTGGACAATTCATGCGGGGACGACGTCTTGTATGCAAAGCGTACTTTTTAACATAAAACACAGTTAAAAGGCACTTAAATCTTATAAGTCATAATATTGGAACTTATATATGTTGTATATATAAAAACTTTAAAAATATCATATTGCTGATTTTTTTATAACTTATATTTTTGGAATATACATTGTAAATATTTAAGTCTCATATTTTTATTTTCATAAATAATTTTGTAATTGACTAATCAACTTAGTTGGTCTAAAAAAAAAAAACAATTTGTATAGAATGATCTATTTAACTTAAGACACTATTATTTTTATTTTATAAAACACTAATATTTAAAAACATTTCTTTCATATAATTTTAAGTCGCACTAAACAACAATTTTGGAAAAAATTATGATTTTTATTATTCTTCATTGTTACTATAATTTAAATAATTGACTTATTTTTTATGAAATTCAAATATATGTTAAATTTTAAAAAAGTGCATGGCTCATATTATTATAAACATTACATTTTAATGATGTAATAATTAAAATGTATAAACTTGTACATCTATCTTATTTATTTATAAGTTATAACCTCCCTGATGCCAAACGTCCCAGCATTTTATTACCTACTGATAAAGTGATGAATGGGAAAACATAACTATTCATAACCATATATTAAATATATAAAATATAAGCTAAAAAAAAGGTCAAGGGGGGAGATATATCTCCCTAATCTTCCCCCGTAAATACGCTACAGATTTATAATATGACAAAAATATCATTTAAAAAATTTCCTATGTACACTTGGAAAAAAACAAACCATAATATTAATTTATATTAACTTATACTAATTATTCTAATTGCTGTGCTGTACCTACAGTTGTAGTGACTCGTTGTAGTGTACTCGTCTGTGAGTAGGTAGGTCACTGTAATGGATGTGTTAAATTTTAATTCAATGATCAATGTATACAAAAAACAATTCTGAGTGGACATAATTTACTATGTAAACATTAGTCATTACCTATATCAATATTAATTATACGGTAATTTATTTTAATATTAGTAAATAATAAATATATACTACAGTATAAAATATAAATATATGCTATAGTATAAAATAGATCTGAATGTTTTGAGAATGTAGGTAATTGTTGATATTAACCCATTAGCGCCGTGCGTTGCCATATGGCAACATAGGTAGACCTATTTTTAGAAGCTAATTTCTCATTGGGAATTTGACCAATAAAAAAATTTAAAAATAAAAAATAAAAAATTTCGGCGCTAATGGGTTAAATATAATAATTTACGTTAAATGTTTCAATTACCACAGTCCACCAGCTTACGAATAATACTTTTGAAATACAACAAAGTAGATGGATAGAGGTACCTAACAAAAATCGTTATTCTTTGCTTCAATATCAAATTTTGTCCAAATTTGAACCTCATTATTGTTTAAAAAAAAACCAAGATTAAGTACCTATAATTTTTAGATTTTTTAGTTCCAGTAAGAACTACTATTAGTTATGAGTTATGAGCTATGAGGAACCTATTGTATTAATTTTTCAAACTTGAGCTATATAAATTGAGCACTAAGTAGTTTAAACAAAATATTTGTCAAAATTTGAACTTCCAATGCTATATGAAATGCTTTCAATCATAATTTATAGGTATAAAAAAAATGGTGCCAATGTATCTTTAATATTTTTAAATTGCTATAATAGTAATTTATGAAGAACATTGTTGGTATTAGGTACATTTTAAAGCTTTCTGAACAAACGAAAAATGTCTTATTGATATATTTAGAAAAAAAACTAAACAAATTGTAAATTGAAAATGTCTATAAGTAAAACAAAAAGAGACTAAAAATTTTGAAAATTTTAACATTTATATAAAATAATACAATAAACATTTGGTGAATAGGTACCTATTTATAGTATCTACAATTATTTGTTTTTAAATTACAACTAAATAAGAAAATCATTTGATGAGAAATCGTTATTTTATAAATAAATATCTCATCAATATTTAAAAATATTTGGGCAATTCTATTATGCTAAACTGTTTTTTTTTTTATTCAGTAGGTAATAACAACTTACGAGTTACGAGTAATTATTATAAAACGTGTTCATTTTATCTACTGTATACACTACAACGACGATACAACGTCATGGCGGCGGCCCAATATTATATTATACCTACCTGTAGTAGTGATATGTAGGGGTTATGTTACAAAATCACAATTTTTTTCTACCATTTTTTGTACCATCATTTTTATCAATTTTAAAAATTGTACTTAAGATGTCCACTGCAGAGAAAACTGATTTTAATTTATTAAGTACCGTAGGGAAAGTACGTTTTTAATTTATATCTCTAGAACTCGAAACTTTAACCATTACGAATTTACGAATATTATATACACAATGAAATATTCTAAAATAATTATAGTAATTATTTATTATATGCTACTTATAACACGGATTCACTCATACCATTGAATGGGATCCATCTGTATGGACTTTTAAGTTAATAACAATTTATTAGGTACTAAATATTATATAATAGCTAGTATAACAAAATAGGCATGAGTATCCTTATAGTTTTGATGCCTTGCGGCTACAACTATGGACCGTGTATTAGCTGGCCGGGCGGGTCGCCACCAGTACAGGGGGCCGTCACCCCGTACATACTACATATATCGAGAGTCACAAAATGTCGACCAGGTTCGGTCGTGAGCTATCATCTCACATTCTGTTTCTGGTTACAGACCGTCAATTTTGTCCGGGGTGAGCGCTCGGGAGGAACCAGCTCGCCAAAGAAGCTCGCCCTAACTTGACCAAAAGGCCGTTCACCAGAGGCCTTCCCCTGCCAGCAAGGATCTATTCACTAGCTTCCATAGGCATGTAACCACACTGTAACCAGAGGCTTCCGCCACCACGAATCCTACAGCAACGGACCACCACAAGCAAGCGAACAAGCATATACGAGCACCCACGAAGGGGCGTTGGGTGGGACTGAATTACCCCGATCAAGAAGGCCATCATCAGTGGGATGTTCGACCGTGACTTAACTTGACCTCCCGGAATTCGCCTA